GGTCTTATCAAGTAATCAATTTGATGGCGGGTTTACGGAGGAAATGGAAGCAAGAAGGAAACAACTTTGAACTCCAAAGTTCTGAAACGCGTGATAGTCGATTATCATTAACTGATAGGAGTTCTTTTTGGTGATGAAGGAGTTCTTTTTGGTGTTTTGATTTATGAAGATAGAATAGAATGTGGTTTAGGAAGAGAAAATGGAGAGGAACGAAATGGATAGAGAACAAGGATGGATAAACCAAATAAAGAATAAGAGATAAACACACTCTTATTATATTTGGGGCTGATATCTATTTCACACAATAATAATCACTACTAATGTATAAAATAGACTCCTAACACGCACTCAAAAGTAGCCAACTTTAGAGATATTTCATTAGGAAATTTGGTTAAAATAGCATCACACTATTTTAATGAATTACTCAAAGAGTAAAACAAAGGCTTTTTAATTCAATAATCTGGTGTGTTACAATGGCCTCATGGCTGAAGTATTTATACAACAACAAATAAGGAAAAATACAAGAACAATGAAGGAAGAATATAACAAGGAAGTTCCCTACAAATCAATGCTTAATGCCCATCCATGTGAGTTGATCTTCCATGATGCTTCTCCTGATTTTGAGCTGATCTTCTTTGGGTTTATTTGGGTAGAAATTTCGTGCATATAAGGAAGAAAACAAAGGGGAATCAAGCTTTAGACTTTTGTGAATAAAATGCCAAAACAGCACTATTCATTCAATGACTTTGTTTCTGATTTTTGTTCCTTTGTTTCAAAAGTGATTATGCTTTTGTTTTGTGGAAGAAAAGGCTTTATTCTTTGTAGAAAATTAGGAAATAATTTTAGCCTTATACCCCATCTTAGGATAAATAAACAGGAACAGATTCACTCAGGATTCAGGGTATGGAATAATCGATTAGCACATTTAGTAAATCGATTAATAGTGTTTAGCTCAAACTGGGAATGTTCAGAGGAACCAGATAGTCGATTGACACTGCAAGACAATCGATTATGTGATGTTGCAGATTTTGAAGAAGAATCAGAGGGCTACAATAGTCGATTATCAAACAATGATAATCGATTATTTACAAGTTCAGAATCAGTATTAGAAGAAAAGAAGGGAAGGCATTATTTGGGTAAAAAAAAGGATTTGAAAAGAAACAAAGGTTTTAAAAGATAATAAGAAACTAAAGTTTGAGTTGTCTTTCTTTGATTTCATTTTTGACTAAAAATTGATGGGAAAGACTTTATTTTGAATTAAAGAAAAGAAGGAATACTTTTGGATATGTGGGGAGAGTTGGGGTTTTGGTGGAGCCATCCAGGGGTACATCACCACCAACATGGCCTTTTCTAGATGGGAATACCTTAACTCCGCATCTCTCAAGGTTTTGTTGGACATGAGTTCAAACCCCTTTGTTATTTTTCTCTGGAATATTTTTTTGTTTTGATGAATGACAAACAGGATGATTAAATTCAATCGATATTTGAAAATTTATTCGGATCGAGAAAAGCAAAGAAGGGTATCAAGAAGTTTCGGCGATAAAATTCAACGCTCACCCCTACGCAGTTTTTTTGAAGTGAAGTGAAGACTCCGAAGACTTTTTATTTTTTATTGAGTCTAGGAATTCTTGTAAGGATGACAATAATTTCTGCATAAACAAATTAATCTTGAGGGATAAAAATTATTATTTTCTGAATCAGTTGAAAAATTATTTTTTCTCTGTCTAAAAATATTTTACCAAGTCAGTTTCAAAATAGTGTGTCAAAAATTCTTAAAAAA